AACTGATTTTTGTACCATAGAATGTTGATACATGTAGGATAGTATAGTATTTTCCTTGGAATTTTTAGGAATGATTTTCAATTAGTTCCCCATTTTCCAAGTTAACTTTAGTTTAGGTGATCCTGACTTAGAGAACTTCATAGATTAACCTTGTAAATGACCATTAGATGATTCTAAGTAGTGTATTCTTTCTTGATAGATTGGTAAGTAGGTAGAGACCTCATTAGAACTTTTCCATAGCCTTGATAGAGCTTTTGATTCCCCTGGCTTAGGTGATCCTTGTAGCTAGCTTGTAGGGTTTCTTAGGAGTGCTGAGTTGCCTTTTGTCCCCTATGTGATTTCCTCCTTGGGCTTTGCCCTACATTCTTTATTCAAGTCTTGAAAAGGAACCCTCCTGGGAGAGCCTAATTCTTCCTTTGGTTGGATTCTGTGCATTCCTCAAGAGGTTGAGCCTTGAATTGACCTTCCCCAGTATAGTACATTGCTTTAGTTTGTACTATCTTTATCCTTCAAGTCTTGATGAGGAGCCCTCCTGGGAGAGCCTAATCCTTCCTTTGGTTGGATTCTGTGCATTCCTCAGGAGGTTGAGCCTTGGATTGACATTCTTGGCATGGTATATTCCCTTGGTTTATATACTGTCATTCATCTCAAAGTCCTATTCTTAGGATCCCTCTTGGGAGAGCCTAATCCTTCCCTTGGTTGGATTCTGTGCATTCCTCAACAGGTTGAGCCTGAGATGGACATTCTATGTTGATACACTGCAATCAGTTACCCTTAGATTGATATCTAGGACCAGTACCCAGTCTTTTCTGTCCTATTGACATAAGATCCCTCTTGGGAGAGCCTAATCCTTCCCTTGGTTGGATTTTGTGCATTCCTCAAGAGGTTGAGCCCATGATGGACTCTGGTGTTGATACATCTCCAACCGGATGTAGCCTGGGATGACTCCCTTGTTGCTCATTGTGGTTTCTCTCCTTTGTTTGAATTGCTTGATGCATTAGAATAGGATCATGTTTAGACTGTTTTATGCTAGGAGCATGACTGCTTAGAGGTTGAGTGAGTCTCCCTCTGCTTGTTTGCATTAAGGGTTGAGGTGATCCTCCCCTTGCTTGTATCTTGTTTTTCTTTTTATCTGTGTATTAGTAATAGAGGTTGAGTCTGTCTATCTCTGTTTGACTGTTTCTTTTTGCTTGATTGCCTAGAGGTTGAGTGAGTCTCCCTCTGCTTGTATTGCTGCATTGCATGTGCATCTTTACTGTTTTCTTTTATATATCTGTTTACTGTTTAAGTTGATGCTTTGTTGTTTCTGTATACCATTGACAGGATCCCCTAGGAATCTCACTTCCTTTGATAAGGAAGTGATGATAGAACTTTAGGTTGAAACCTATGCATGATAACTTCTAGGAGTTCCCTGTTTCAAACCTCAACCATGGGATAAATCCTTGGCATGACAACATTAGGACTTGACAGTTTCCCCATAGAGTTCGTTCTCTTCTCATCTCAAAACAACAGTAAAAAATGTAATAAAGGCAAGTTAGTACAAGCGGGTTACGAGCCTTAAGCTACTTGGGTAATGATAATTGAACGGCCTCCTCTCAATCGTCTAGAGTGTTTAGTATACGTCCTTTGGACGATATGCAATGCATTCGTTCCCAGGTCATAGTCTCTAGTGCTGTACAAACTACAGACAACCATAAAAAAACAGTTCTTCCGTAAAAGACAGAAAACAAACTTCAAACCTTTTGCCCCGTGGGCCCATAATTTAAAGGAAGCTTTTTCTGAAGAAAAGAGTGTCGTTAACTCCCAGTTCTACCGCAAACGGTAACGCATAAGTCTCCAAGGGTCGAGCTGCGTACGCCAAACTGCTGGAACTGTTTGTTAACCCTACTCGAAAAACAGATGAATCTGAATCCCTGTAATCCTTCTTATCCCGAACTACGTAAGCTCTGATCTCTCATATCTGTTGAGAGTACGTAGGCACAATACTGATGTATTGGCGAGCCACCTCCCCCATCCGTTTACCCGTAGTTAGCCGAACTACGTTGACTATGATTTCTCATTCTCTGATGAGAATACGTAGGCATAAAGTGCGACGCTTTGCCGAGTCATTTTCTTTTCTTTTCAGACAAGCCTTGATAGGTAGATCCTAAATAAACCCGTCAGATAAACACAACAAGCGTGGATCCCATCGAGTACGATGGACGTGAGGGGTGCTAATACCTTCCCCTTGCGTAATCGACTTCCGAATCCAGACATTGGTTGCGATGACCTTGTCTTATACCTTTTGTCAGGTTTTTCCGATCGTTTCCTTTCCCGTTCTGAGGGATAAATAACGAAAGGTGACGACTCTTCTGTTTTGCCAGCACCTTATTTTCGCGATAGCGACAATGCCATACCAACAAAATGGGCAAAAACTTCACTTTTTGCTTCTCTTTTGCTCTTTTAGCTTCTCTTTTGCTCTTTTAGCTTCTCTTTCCGATTTTTCTCCCAAATCAACAACGAACTGGGCCGACAACTACAAAACAACGAAAACAAAGTAAAAGTGACAGAACATAATAACATATATATGAAAACATGTATGCAATAGGCCTAAAAACATGGTACGATTCCTTGTTATCATTTCTCTTGACATTTTTTACACTTCGGGCTTACCACCCGAACTACAATTGCTCTGACTTCCTTTTTAAGGATATGTAGGCATAAGATTGCGAGATAATACACAAAAAAACATTATGATTCACTTCAACTCTAACCTAGTTCAAACATTAGGTTCCCTCCTGTTGAAGTTCCCACCTCATCAACTTATCCTCCTCTTGGGCTTTGTACAAGGAGACTTTACACTCAACCTAGCCTTCTCTTAGGCTTTATATAAGGAAGTCAGACTTCAAACTCAAAAACTCTTCAACTAAGAGATGAGAACTCCCCTTTAAAGTCTTAAAGTCAAACACCTTGCCCCTTGTGGCTTCAAACCCTCGCCAACCTCTGGATTCAAACTCAAAACACTTCCCTAGAGATGAGACATAAGTCATCTCTATAGAAGAGATATTTCTTCTATTATCACACAACATTCAGTCAAACGTTTTCAAACTTTTTCCATTTAAGTGATGTAAGTGGCACACTTGTTGATTTAAAATCTAAGTTGGAGTCCCTCTCTTACATGGTACAAAAACATTTCTTTCATTTTAGGTGATTAAGTGGCACACTTGTTGATTATACATCCAAGTCAAGGTCCATCTTTTAAATATGCAAAGACTCATTTAAAGAAAGATGTGGCATTACTTTGGATTTTCTACATCCAAGTTCAAAGCTTCTTCCCTTATTACTTTCTCAAAATGTTTATGGTGAATAGGTGAGGTATCTTCCTTAAGATGAAAATTTGTCTCTTCTCTCAAAACCAACAAACCCAAATCCACCGATTAGTAGGTGGAATTATGAACACTCTAATTTCTCAACTTTTTTTTGAGAATACGTATGCATAAGATTGCGAGATCTTAGCGAGCATAGTAATAAATAAAACCATTAGGTTCCTATAACTTTATCTTAAACCATTTCAACTTACACCACAAAAACAACAACAATATCTCCTATCACTCACTCAAAATAGACAGCAAAATCCCCAATACACAACAAATGACTTTATCAACAATAAACACAAATATACGCAAGAGGTTCCTATAGAATACTATAGATACTTAGGGTGCTAATACCTTCTCTTAGTATAACCAATCCTGATTCCTAAATCTCTTAAGTGTATTGCATTGCACACACGCACAGGTTTATTTAGATTTTTTCCCCTTCCCTCTCCTGGGATAAATTAAAAGTTCACATGTAGACTGAAAAAGGGCAACCTCACTTCGAAAGAAGGGACCGAATCCCGTGTCCGTAGCTACCAATGTAGAAGTTCTCAACATTCATTCAACAAAGAAAGAATAATTAAATTCAAAACAAGCTACCAACAACCCTAAAAAAACTAAAGACTACTATAACTGCCCCCTCATTTTCAAAAAGGCATGTCCTTAGGTCAACTACAAAAAAGGAAATGCAATAGTACTACACAATATAACAGAAAGTGTTATATCATAAACTCACCAACATTCCAGAATCTGCCATGTTCGCAGTGCGAACAATTCTTTGCCCAGTGAACTTATTCGCTACAAGTTCGTACAATGAACTTATGGTCCTTTTCTTACTGCCTCAAATCTAGGATGGTTTGCTGGGGCTTTGCTTGGAGCTCACACAACGAACATGTACTGGCACCTCGTTGTTGCTCACATGATGAACATGCTGAATCTTTTTCTTTTCTTTGACTTCTTTGTCAATTTACTTGTGTCTTAATCTTTGATGGTTTTATGCCTAAATACTGCACAATAACACACAAATCAAAGCAACCAAAGGTATTTGCAACAATATTGAAGAATAGCATGGAAACATGAAATAAATCCATTGAAACATAACAAAAGAGTTGAAAAATGCCAATAAATATGGATCAAAATAAGACATGTTTGGCATTCAACATCATCACCTGTCACCGAAGAAATATTACACGAAACATCTTCAACTGTGTAATTCTATCTGTATGACCGTCGTCCTTTATTAGAATCAGATCATGTATCCCTGATATTATCTGATGCTTTGAGTTTGTTTTCATTTTGATCAATAGGATTAAACTCCACATTTTCTGGACTGAGCTTGATTTAGTGCAGAGAACTTATTGTGCAAGGAAGTGTTGGTCTTGGAATCCTTATTTGGTGTCTGCACCATATTTGGCTTGCACCATTATGTACTAAGACATAAGTGTAAGGTTTAACCATTCTTCTTTATGTAATGTGACCACTTTGAAAATAATGGAAATGTTTTAAAGTATGTAGTTTGATGAATGTTGAATTGCTGCAGGACCATGTTTCTGGACTGACCAACTGTAACAACATTTTCTGTTAAACTGAGATGGTTGGGAAGAACTGTCTACCTAGCTTTCAAAGAACTTGGTTGCAACCATCCAAATGACTATTTTCCTTCTCCACGAAACCGCCGCTGGCTACACCTTGTTCGAGGCTCATGGAAATGACGAAATTGGACATAACACAAAAGCTGTTCGAAACTCCATTTTCGATTTGACCAGGTTCGGCAAGGTCGTTAAGCTTTACTCTTTCAACCTTTTCACCTATTCTCTTGAAGGCCTAGAACAAATTAATGTCATCTCTAAAGGCATTATGATTGACGAGTTGAGAACTGTTTTGGAGACCAACTTACCCAAAGTAAAGGAAGATAAAAAGCCAAAGTTCTCCTTAGGTGTAACTGAATCTAAGATTGGTTCACATATACAAGAAGCTACTAAAATTCCATGCCAAAGTAATGAGTTTGTGAATGAACTTATTCGTGGTGTCAGGCTTCATTTTGACAAGTTTGGTAGTGATCACAAGCCAGGAGATTTGGAAAAGGCATAACTTAGTCTCTGTCACAATTACAACAGAGCAAAAGTGAAATTCAATGTTAATTAGGTTGACAATATGGTCATCCAAGTAATCTTCCTACTCGATACACTTGATAAGGATATCAATTCATTTTCACGAGAGTCAGAGAATGGTATTGGTCGTATTTTCCTGCACTAGTGAAGACCGTAGATGATAATTATTTGTATTGAAAAGTAGCCAAATATGTTGAGAATAAGTCAAAGTTGGTTGAAGACAATATTGAAGCATTAACTGACTTAGTTGTTTTATCATGACACCATATGTATATGGTATGATGTATATGATGTATGTATAAAAATAATTAAAATGCAATTTGTTTCCCTATTTTATTTTACTAAAGATTTAATTAAAACCATACAAATTTAATATTTGAAATGCAAGTTCAAATATTGAAGATGTAAGTTCAATCAACTTTGATATAAGATGATAATAAAAATTTCAAAAAATGTAAATAATGCAAACGAACTAGCAACAAAAGCCAACTGAGTCACACTTTTCCTTTTTGAATTTTATTTTGAAATGTGTTGATGAATGATGATGATACAGAGAGTAAAAATTCTAATAATGATTTAATAAAATGAATGATGGAATGTATGATTAAATGGAATGATCTTGTCATGTTGGTGCCGATGAAAAAAACTTTGTGTAAATTTTAGGGTATGAAAACCGTGAAAGAATTTTGAAGTTGCATCTCCCTCCTCTAGCCAAAGTAATATAGATTCTTGCCACCGGATATTTGAATGTGATTTGGATAAAGAAATAATTTCTGCCAATAAAGAGTGTAACTTTCCCAACTCCTCCTCCTCTAGATCATACTCATCTCCTTTAACATCCAATAAAGAAATATGGTCTTTTACCGCTTTGATTTTGCCTTTTAAATTCTGAGTATGATTTTGATGCCATAATTTCAAATTGTTCTTAATCAGTTTTAGTTTATCTTTCAACACAAAACCTCCCCACCCATCCATCTGTAAAGATAACCAATGTTCCTTCACAAACTCCTTGTATCCTAGTAAATCTGTCCAACATTTTAACATTCTCATTGCCTAAGACCCCAATTCTCCTCGTCAATAGTCAACAGAATTGGACAATGATTAGAAATAGTGTGAGAAACAACCACTTGAATGTAATTCAACCAAAAAGAAACTAACTTCATTATTACCACCCAACTCCCTCTCCACAACCCAAAAATACCCTATCTTAAAATGTCATTCTCAACCTCAATATCTCTCTCCACCTCCCCCTTACCACCCCACCACATCCCTCCTTAATCCCATCACCTCTCCCTTTAGACAACACTGAACATATTTAAGTAATCATCCTTGATCTTTAACCCTATAGAATTGTCAATCACACAAACATCATCAACAATCTCTTGAAGATTTCGAGAGATTGAAGATTTAGAAACTTGACATATATTTAACTATAAAAAATAGTGTGCAACACTACCAAATCCATAAAATTTTTATTGCTTCGGTTGAATTTATTATGTTTTAAAATTATAAATATACCATACATATTATTTTTTGTATGTCGTATATTGTTGTTCTCAACTATCATAAATAATAAAGTACCATTCTTCCTTAGTTAATAATAATAATCGTAAATAATGCAATAGTCCATACTCGCGCTTTTACACGAATTTGAACTAATTTTTAAATTAAATAATTATTAACTTATATTTCTACACGTAAGTGCTATAATAATTTACTAATATATTATTTTCCTATCAACTAAATTGTATTTAAAAGACAAATTCAATTTTCTTTTTCTAGAGAAAACTAAATGACATCATTTAAAAATATTATTGAAAAAATAGAAAGTTATTAATTATTATTATAAGATTTTTTTCCTAGGACAGGTTGGTATTTTATTTTTACAACTCATTTCACAAAAACATTTATTTTCTTAATATTTAATTTTCTTTATTTAAATATGAAGAACATACTTACAATTTTTATTATATGCTCTTCTTCGTAACAATTTTTTCTCGCATTTTTCTCTCATATTGTCGCCGCTGCCGAAGAATTTTCATTCTCCTTATTTCTCTCAGGTACGTGATTCACTATCACTCTCCTAATACCTGATAGATCACTTCATTCCAATTTTATTATTTACTGCTTTCAGAATATGCATTGTAGTTTTGTTGGATTGTGTGAGATCGTTTTACTGTGCTTGATGCATGCGTTTAGCTTTCTTAGTTGTAGCTTACTTCTTGGTTATGCTGATCAATGCCTATATTGCGGGTTTTTCTGCCATAATCCGCTATATCGGCGCTGCAAAGCTACTGGTATGGCGGGATTCTGGCTCTCTGCCATCTACAATACTGTTTGGTTTACTGATGAAAACCCCTAATGTATACGTTTTCCCTAAAAGAAATTTATAATTGCTTGGGCTCAAACGTGCGGTAGGGCTTTTAAACGGTATTCCAAACATAAACCAGCTTGTAGATCGGTGAAATGATGAATTTTCCTTATTGTAAATTTACTTAGTGATTCTGGGCAATTACAGTTATGCATTTGAAGCCGTCCTTAGCATAAGGTATAATGGTGCATTAATTTCACAATAAATTGTTTCTATCATATAGAGAAGGAAAAACAGTTCACATCTACTTTACTCCTTTGTTTATCTTGGCGAAGTTAGACAAGTAATGATCTGATCTTTTTGTTAAGTCATTGTATCATATTTTAACCTGTTTTTAGTCCTTGTGATTTGCAAAGAATCTCAAGTTATTCTAAAATTGACACGTGCGTTCCACACTCAACATTAACAATGGGTCAGATGTTGAGGCCTTGGCCATATGTTAAGGTAATTCATGAGTGCGGTCTGTATATCTGCAACTGATTGTTTTCAATTTATTTTCCTACATTTGGTGTAGCAGAAATCGCTATAAAAGTGTGGTGTGTGGTGCCTATGTAGGAGGATGAATGGGGACCAGATCATACGTATTTTGCATATGGCACATTGACTATCTGATATGATGTACCATTATATTCTAGTTCTTATGCTATGTAGTTTGATGTTGACATTAGATTCTAACTTTTCACCAGAGGCCCAAGTCTTCTGAGAGAAAGAGGTACCGGACAAGAACTGTGCTACCAACATTTTTGTAAGTTTTTAAAGATACATTTGTGGAGTTTTATTCTGTTATTTCCCTGGCTTAAATCAAGTCATTTGCAGGATTGTGTCTCCTTTTTTCGGGGTAAATAATTTGGGAAAAGAAAACAATCAATAGCATTGTCTTTCCTCCCTTTAACTGTCTACTAACAATTTTGACTTGTTTACCAGAAATTCAAATGTTTTAAACAAGAAAGTTTTCATCGTCTTTCCACATGACCCATTTACAAATATTAATTTATATTTTATGCAGTGGAATCTAGTAAAATTGCTTGGTGAGCTTTTGTTCAAGTAGATGTCAGTTGCAAAACTCAAGGCCTCTGACACTCCAGATGTCATGAGAACAGAAGACGGAATAGAAACCATAATCAGACAAGCAATTGGCAAAGAGCCTTTCTTTTATTTTCCAAGGGTCAGTGACAGCCCAGGACAGTTGATTCCATTTCTTCATGCTTTTGATCCGCAAGGTGTTAGCAATGTTTATCCAGGTCTGAAAATTTATATTCGGGGTTTCATGTTCAAAATCATTCTTTTGATATAAATTTGTATGGATTGGACATTAATTGAATTGAAGCATGTACACCAACCATGTAATGTGTCTAGCCGCCCGGAAACAAATTAAAAAGATCTTGAGCCGAGCTATAAGTATTTATTTAGATTAGTGCCGCCAATGAAGCACGAATATGTCAAAATCTCTGCCGAATCGTATCCGATACATACCGATATGTTGTTGATACGTATCAAAGGAGTATCCGAATTTATTTATTTAAAAATAAATAAAAAATTTCCGATATGGCAACAATACACCTCTGATACTCCGTGCGGATACGTGACTTTATTTTTATTTATCAGATTCTTCTTTTTAATGACCCTCCATTCACCTTTTTAAGAACCCTTCATTCCTGCTCATTCTCTTTAATATCCTAATTAATTCTTTAGAGTCAGTTACCATTTTTCAAAATTGGTTTTAATTTCCATAATTTCTTATCAATACCAATATTTGAAATTTATGGTGTTATAAATTGTGTTATGTATTTTGTTTTGTTATAATATTTATATACTTATCTTAAACGTATTGTATCCAGTATTATTCAATTAGTGACGTATCGCATACGTATCGCCGTATCAGATATGTATCATATCTGATACTCATATTGTGTCCATGCTTCATTGAATGACGCCTTTGTGCTGGCCTGTACAGGATTGAGAGTTTACTTTTTCAGTATCATACTTCACTTTTGGGCTTGTTACAGGTGTATATAACTCTTTACTTAGAAAGAAATAATAAAAGAATCTTGCAATGACGGATTTTGTTTTTAAGCAATAGCTTCTGGTATAAGAAAACACTAGCTTCTACATCTCAACTTTTCAAAAGCCCTCATTTAACTTTTCAACAAACGCTATGAGCTTAAGAGGAATTTTTTGTACATACAGAATATCCAGGTTGGCCTTTGCTCTATCCTCTGAAGGTTCCGACGGATAAATGTGAGAAGTGTTCTCAAGAGTTCTGCTCCACCCTTAACTATAGAAGACATTTACCTGTGCATCACCGATTCAAAAAGCTTGATAAGGTTTTCTTTTGATCCTTTAAGTATAACTATATCTATCATATTCTTTCTCTTAGTTCATACATTTACCCTTTTGTATTTTCTTCATGCTATGCCTATACCACACTTTTTTTGTTTCTTTTACCTTGCTGCCCTCAATTTTTCTTTATGCTGTTTACAAATTTCAGGATACTTCAAAAACTAGGGAGCTTTTAGGGGCATATTGGGATAAGGTAATATTTCATCACTGTGAATTATACATATATGAAGATCCGGGCGGCTCATTTTGATGTGTTCTTATTCATAATTTTTATAGCTCTCGGTAGAAGAGGCGAAGGAAGTCGTATCGTTTGAGAATGTGATGCTGGAGGTAAAATCTTGTTGCTCTTACATGATAAGTTATATTACTTTTTATTATCTTATATGTATATTCTTTTCATTATGACACAAAATATCCATATTGGTGTGTTTGGAAGATGTTAGGTTCCTTTTCAAATGCGAATTCGAATTGTGAATGTGAGTTTTACAAACTCTTCATTGGCCTTTTAAAATATAAATAGTGTATAATAAGATCTTATAAGGCTTGATCACTCCTTACCTTGCAAGTTCGTTTTTGTGAAGTTGAGCTTTGTCTAATCTAAAGTTTGAGTTGCTATTAAAGTCTATCCTAGGTATATTGTTGGGCTGCCCACCATAGTATCCACAAACTAATCCCTGTAGTGTGGTATGCATGAGGGGTTTATTGGAAAAAGCCCAAGTCATATAGCGGCTTGTGGTGGCGTCTAATACGAGCTTATAAAGCACAAGTTGGTTTTGTGGGGCTATGTTAGGCCAAATCCAAACTCAAAGTTACTGTCAGAGCTATTCTAGACCCATTTGACTACTTGTTATCAAGCCACCAAGGTTTCACTCCATATATGTCTAGACTTGGGTAGTGTTGAGAGTTCTACGCCGGTACACCAAACAGTCCCACATTATTTAGGAATTCGAGGCTGAGGGTAGCTTATAAACGACAACAACCCTCCTCTATCAGTCGAGAAACCTTTTACAAAGGAGTAAAATGGTGAGGGCATACACAAGTTCAAAGCAGACAGTATCTCCTAAGCATGTTGTTGTAGACTTGAGGTCAGAACATTGGCGCTCCAGGTAGGGGTCTAAGCTACAAGACTTTTGGTCGCTTAACCTTGATTGGGAGGCTATTGGTCTAGTACACTAGAAATAGTTACTCATTTCTTGAGAATTGAGGCTAAGGGTAGTTTATACACTTGCACTCGTAAATCCACTGAGGCGCCTTTTACAAATGACAAAACTGTGAGGTATTGAAGTCGAAACTTTGGTGTGCTAAGTAGGGGCCTATTGTTACGGTTCATCGAAAAGTCTCTTATTGCTTGAGAATTGAGGCTAAGTGCAGTTTATAAACACTCACACTCCTCTACCCACTAAGGCACCTTTTATAAAGGCAATCGTGACTTGTGAGGACTTATACAAGACTCTAAGTGAACAATACTTTGAAAATGTGGTGCCATGTACTTGAAGTCGGAACAAATAGTGATATGGCCTAAATAGTTGTTATAAATAAGGGGCTGCCCTCACCTTATAAGTGGACATTGTGAGCTTCAGTTAAGCTCCAAACCTAAGAGTGCAAAAAGAGGGAAGATGTGAAGTCATCTTAACACAATATACTTCTAAATGAACAGTAAAAATGACTAAACCAAGAGTCAGCTCTAATGATGGCTATTCAATAAATATAGGACTGCACCAAGGGTCAACTTTAAGCTCATATCATTTTACATTAGACGTAGAAGTCCTTACAGAGCACATTCAAGAGTAAGCACCATGAAAGAAACCTATCTTGGACAGACAAGAAAGAAAATAAGACAAGAAAGAAAATAAAGCAGATGTTGAGACTTGACGACATGCTTTAGAAGCATATGGCTTCCGTTTGAGTAGAAGACAATATATTGAATGCCAATTTATCATAAAAGATTCAAAAATTTGTATAATGTGAATCTGTTTTTAATTGATTTGGAATGGAGCATGATGCTCTATTTATACAAGAGTTGAACATTCAAGTTCTACATTTAAGGATGACCTTTCTTATTCTATTAAATTAAGGTTGACCTTACTTATTCTAAGATAGAGCTGATCTTTCATATTCTAAGATATAATTGAAATTAAGTCTAGGCTATTAATGTGAAGTAGGAGTAAGATTCATCATATTCTCTATTACCCCCAGAGACAGCAAGAGCAAGGCTGCGATATTCTGCTTCACCAGAAGACTTGGCAACAAGAGTTTGCTTTTTAAACCACCAAGAGATGAGGTTAGGTCCCAAAAATACACAAGCACCAGAAGTTGAGTGTCTGTCATCCATATCTGATGCTCAATCAGCATCACAATAGGCCCTAAGATGAATAGGAGCAGCAGAACTAGTTGGTTTAACACCAATCCATAATCACTTGTACCTTTAAGATACTTTAAGATTCTCTTTACTGCAGACCAATGGGAAACCAGAGGTTGAGACATAAATTGACACACCTTATTCACAGAGTAACCGAGTGCAAGTCTGGTGATTGTAACATATTGTAGAGCACCTACAATGCTTCTGTAAAGTGGTGGATCTTCAAAGAAATCAGTACCAGCTTTTGAGAGTTTAACTGCAGTAGGGAGAGGTGTAGTAATACTTTTGCAGCCATCCATCTCTGCTCTCTGCAGGAGATCTCTCACACATTTTCCTTGAGACAACAGTAAATTACCATTGAAAGTGCGCTTAACCTTAATTCCAAGAAAATAGTCTAGATCACCTAGTTGTTTGAGAGAGAAAACACTGTCTAGTTTGGTAATGAATTGCTGAATCATAGTAGGTGAGGAACCAGTGAATATAATATCATCGACATAGATAAGCATGTAGATGCAACAACCCTTGTTGGTGAGCAAAGAAGGATCACACTTGCATTGTTGAAAACCAAAATTAATCAATGTTTTTGTGAGTCAATCATACCATGCCCTTTGGGACTTGTTTTAACCCATAAATTGCTTTGTTAAGTTTACAAACCAGAGAGGCATCAATGGAGACAAAACCAGGAGGTTGAGTCATGTGTACATCCTCATCAAGATAGCCATTAAGAAAAACATTGTTCACATTAACTTGCTTGAGAGGTCAATAGTTTGTGAGGGCAATGGTTAGAATAATTCGAACAGTGATGTGCTTGACAACTGGTGAGAAGGTTTCTGTGTAGTCACACCCATGCTTTTGAAGGTAACCCATTCTCTTTGACACGAAAAACCCATTTACATCCTACAACAGTCTTTCCAGTGGGTAGATAAGTTAGAGTCCAAGTGTTGTTTGTCATAAGAGCATTATACGCAGTTTCCATTGCTTGAGTCCATTGAGGTGAGGTAAGGGCTTGTTTGACAATGATAGGTTCTGTAGTGGTTAAGAGCAGGGTAGGGTAGGAAACTGACAGGGTCTAGGATTTCCAGTTTTGGAACGGGTCATCATAGGATGGTGATTAATGGGAGCGGGTGGTGAGGGGCTTGGGGTAGGGGAATTGAGATCAATTGTGCTGGAGGCTGTAGATGGTAGAGAGGTGGAGCTGTGACTATCAGGGAAGTGAATAGAGCTCTGGTGAGATGGAACAGGTGAGTATAGTTGAGGTGTGGTACTTGAGATTGGGTTTGGGCTAATGGGTGGGATAGATGATATAGGAACAGGAGACACGACTCCAAGAGGAGAGGTGAAGGGTATGGAGGGGGGTATAGGGTTGAAATGTGAAGGTAGTTTGAGATAGTTAAAAGGGACTCCAAGAGAAGAGGTGAAGGGTATGGAGGGGGGTATAGGGTTGAAATGTGAAGGTAGTTTGAGATAGTTAAAAGGGAAATACAGACTCATTGAACAACACATCTTTAGAGATGAATAGCCTTCCGGATGCATCAAGACATTTGTAGCCTTTATGCAATGGTGAATACCCAAGAAAGGTACACTCTGAGGACTTGAAATGCAGTTTATGATTGTTGTAGGGTCTAAGTAATGGAAAACAGACACAACCAAACACTTTGAGAAATGCGTAATTTGGCGGTGTTTTAAACGAAACTTGGACAAGGATCAGATTAGTGTGTGAGGCAGGCAACCTGTTAATTAGATAAACTGTAGTATGAAATGCATGATCCCAAAAATGATAGGGAAGAGAAGCTTGAGACAACAAGGACAAACCTTTCTCAACAATATCTCTATGTTTCCTTTCAACAACCCCATTCTGATGGCGAGTGTGAGGGAAAATAAGTCGGTGGACAATGCCTAGATCAGCTAGGAACTGTTTGAAAGGTCTAAACTCACCCCCAATCTGTTTATATGGCCTTTAGCTTAGTGTTTACTTGAAGTTCAACAAGACTCTTAAATTCCTTAAATTTAGACAATGTTTCATCCTTTGTTTTTAGAAAATATATCCATGTATGACGACTGAAGGCATCAATAAAGGACACATAGTACTTATACCCCATAGAAGACACCATTGGTGTTGGACCCCACAAATCACAATATACAAGTTGAAGAGGCTCAGTATAAACAGTTTTAGAAGGTTGGGAAGGTAACTTGTGAGACTTTCCCATGCAACAAGCAACACAAAAGTCAATATTATTTCGTGGAATAGTAGTGAGATTACACATCTTCATAACAAAATTTAGAGTAACAGAACTAAGATGTCCTAGTCGATTATGCCAAAGTGTGAGAGGTGATACAGTGTAATTCACTTGGGAAGGGGAAACATTATTCATAGATAGACTTGAAACTGGTATTATCTAGAGGATATAGGCCACTGGCAATTATGGGACCTTGAAGGAGAGGAGCATTATCAGCTTGTGATTTCACAGCATAGTGAAATGGGTGAATTTGGAAATAAGAATTATTATCATAAGCAAATTTTTGAACACTAATTAGGTCTTTAGTGATTGAAAGAACATGTAGAATATCTTTGAGATGCAATTGAATTTTTGGATTAATAGGAGATGGAAAAGACTTAGAGCTAATGGAATGAACACGCAAACCTTGGCCATTTCCTAGAAAGACGTTTTTTAGGTGAGGAGGGGGAGGCACTCCAGTATTGTTAGGTGCTGGCTAAGAACTCACATTGTTTGTGGCACCCGTATCAAAGAAGAGAATGGGCACAGTAGGATTAGTAGTGCATTGGTAAACATAGCTTGAGGAACTAAGGCAGGAGGACCTAAAGGCACGGGCATGGTCCAAGTAGCTGGTTGCTGTAGTTGAGGTGTAGCATTAGCAGTGTAATTTGCAGCAGCAGTAGGTCTCCCATATTGATAGGAATTGCCATAGGAATTACCATAGTTACCCTAAGCAGGGGCAGCGGGATACTGACCTTGTAGAGCGTATTGAGTATTGAAGCGATGGTTACAAATGGATGCATCATGACCATACTTGTAGCAAACTTGGCACTGAATATTTCCACGGCCACGACCGAAACGACCGCTGCCACAGCCACCACGACCACCATAAAAATTACGTCTAGAATTAGCATTTTCAGACTTAGAGTTGTCATTTGACTGAGTGCGAGCATTGTAGTTTGCTTGAGGAGTGACATTCTGGTTGCTTGAAGATGCTACTTGAGTTACATTCAGCAAAGCAACTTCTTCAACAATTTTCTGTTTGATGACTCGTTCATGCGCATGTAATAATGCTTTGATCTCATCAAGATCACCTTACTGTTAATAAGCGTAACTAGAGATTCATATTCTGAAGGTAAGCCTTCGAGAATAACATCCAATTGCTCAGTCATAGTAACTATTTCACTGATTGACATTAGAGAATTGAAGATTGCCTTGGTTTTGTCGAGAAATTCAGTAACAGTGTTTGTACCTTTCTTGAGTGTCCGCAACTCAGTTCTCAGCTGTCCTGCTTGTGCCTTGACTTTATAATGGAAATTCTGGTGAATCCGATCCCAAAGCTGCCACGTGTGACGGCAGCCAATGACGCTAGGGAGAAGCGATGCAGAAAGTAACGATTGAAGCCACGAGAGGAGCAATTGATCTTGCACTTCCCACGTAGTGAATGCAGGATTCATGTTACCAGCAAGACGATCTGCTTCAGATAAGTACTGGTCATGAATTCGCGGAGCAACACAATAATGATGAAGACGGTGCGCTCGGAGCACCGGTTCAACTTGATGCAGCCACACTAGGTAGTTCCTATCATCTAGTTTTTCTATAAATTTGTAGTTGAAAGTAGCGAAAGGAATACTCGATGCCGTAGATGAGAGCGCCGGTGATGACGGACTTGCCATTAGAGAAACACGACGAGCTTGTAGCGGAAGACGAAAATGTAGGATCTATGAAGCCACGGTGGTGGCGAAAAAAGCTCTGAATACCATGAAAGATTCAGAAATCTGTATAATGTGAATCTGTTTTTAATTGATTTGGAATGGAGCATGATGCTCTATTTATACCAGAAGAGCTGAACATTCAAGTTCTACATTTAAGGATGACCTTTCCTATTCTATTAAATTAAGGTTGTCCTTGCTTATTCTAAGATAGTACTGATCTTTCATATCCTAAGATATAACTGAAAATTAAGTCTAGGCTATTAATGTGAAATAGGAGTAAGACTGATCATATTCTCTATTATAGCAAAAGGAAAATCACAACTTGTTTAAAGGTGAAAGTAGGAGATCATACTATACCACAAGTCATATGGTTTAAATATCTTAGGTTTTGTTCAAAATAATGTAGAAATAGAGGAAAATGTAAATCATTCAAGTGGGCAGAATGAAATGCAGAAGATCTTCGGGTGTTTTATGTGATATAAAGGTGTTGCTTAAGCTAAAAGAAAAGTTCTATCGTATAGGTTACAACTCTAGTACTAATACCAATGTTGTATGCGTGTTTCGAAATAAAATGCCAACATGACAGTAAACTTTGTGTAGTGCAGATGACAGTGTTGTACTAGATGTGTGGAAATATTAGTCAAGCTAAGATTGGTGTGAGCGTTAGAGATAGATTTGGGGTAGTCATTGTCGTATAAAAAGAAAGTTGAATTCCGACTTGGTTGTTTAGACATGCGAGGAGCAGAAATGTAGATTTAATACAAAGGGGTAGCTCAATTCCTATAGGTAGAGGAAGGATAAGAAAAACTATTGAGAAAGACTTAGAGGTCAATGATTTTAGTTAAGATATGATCTATATGATAGAGCATTATGTTTCTATATTCATTTCAGCTCTTATTTTTGATTTTATTTTTTTTGTTGCTTTTCCTGTATTACATAAGGTAATCTTCATATCTTTTTTTTCTTCATTGACTGTGCTTTATAGGAAGTTCCAGGGTCTTCGATTTTGCATGCTTTGATGACTCTTGCTCAAAAACAAGGATTCTTTTTTCTTCTTCCGTGTTATCTGAGGGCCGGCGCTGCCCTATTGGTAAGCAGCATATAGTCAGGATTATAAATTTGCTTTTCTTGTTAAATTTTCTGACAGGTGTAACTTGGTATATTAAGGCAATACATCAAAATTGTTTTCAGGACATTGTTCAAACCAAACCTTCCAGTTTTCCTATACCTTCCCAGGATTTATTCAGTATCCTTGATGATGCTAGTGAAGGAACATTTTTATTGGGGACAACACTGTCAGTGCAAAAATGTGTTTTTCCTGGAGGGGCTGGAAAAATTGGTCTTGAACCGAAAAATATAGTGGCTTGTACAAGCTTCTTGCTAGAACAGATATTGGTAATTGTTTCTCTTCACTTCAAAATTTGTTCACACATAGCTCACTCGCCTTTTCTTATCTTAATACAGTGTGTTAGGAACCCAAATTCAAGAGGAAAAGAAATTGTATTGTTAATGTAAAAACAGTAACTATTACAGAAGATGAACCCTGCAATCCCAGAGCAAAGCTCCTCAGAGAACAGACAATTCTCTCTCTGCCCAAACCAATACGGATTCTATCTGAATAATTTTCAATGCCTTCTCTCGTGCTATCCTTATCCTTTATATAACTATCATTTCCCTCTAACCAACTAGCCACATCAGCAAATATAACTCATTTCTCTATTGGACACATTTGTTGGGCTTAGGCCCAAACCAATTACCTAACAATACCCACCCCTTGAAAAACAGCCTTGACCTCAAGGCTGAGATATTGCATCTTGCTGCCAAATCTTTCCCGGCACAAAAACTTGCCTCTGTCAAATACAAAGTTGAGCAACCCATGGAACCCCTCTTTCCTTCCTTGCTGATCAGAGCTTGAAGAGATCCGAGTATGAGAGAATCTGCGTTTTGCAGTTACGGTGGGGGTCGGAGTTTGAGAACACCCGCTTGGATTATTTGAATCTCGTTAGCCACCACATGAAGGTCGGTGTCCGGTGGCTCTGGCAACGGAGCTAGCCCAATAGCAAAGGCTTGCCCCTTTCTTCTTTGCATCTCATTCATTCTTCCGTTAAACTTTTTTTTGTTGCTTGTTTTCGGTAATCTGTTTCTATCACTGTATCAGCAATCTCTTTGGAGTCAGATTCAACTTTTATATAGCCTTTTGCTTCTTGTTCAACACTGAAGTTCATCTCCTCTAACGTTGGTTCGTGGTGTTTCTGTCACCTACCACTGTTTCGGCTTTGATTCTTGATTTTGCACCATTTGTGCTTGACAAAGATAATTGTTTTTTCTTATTATTGATAGAGCAACATGTGCTCTTAAATAGAATACAACGTACTTAGAAAAGGAAATCCCTAATAAATATTCATCATTGCCCTCAGTCAATTCTATAATTAAGGGTCAATAGTTTCTATAAATACATACACACCTAATCAAATCCTTTAAACCTATTTAAATATAAAATATACAGCTAATTTACACATGTACATCTGGTTCTAACACTCCCCCTCAAGTTGGAGAGTGGATGTTACCCATTCCCAACTTGCCGATAATAGATTGAAATGTAGAACCACTTAATCCTTTTGTAAGAACATCTGCCAGCTGATTTCCAGTTGATACAAATAGTATACATATTGTCCCATTATCCAATTTTTCCTTGATGAAATGTCTGTCTACTTCGACATGCTTCGTTCTATCATGTCGCACTGGATTATGTGCAATGTTTATTGCTGACTTGTTGTCACAATATAGTTTTATGGGTCCATTCCATTCAATCTTTAGGCCATGTAGAATTATTTTCAGCCATAGGAGTTCACAAATACCTAAAGCCATGGCCCGAAATTCTGCTTCTGCACTTGACCTCGCAACAACATTTTGTTTTTTGCTCCTCCAACTCACTAAGTTTCCTCCAAGAAAAGTACAATATCCGGATGTGGATCTTCTGTCATCTACTGATCTAGCATAATCAGCATCTGTATAGGCTTCCAAAGTAATTCCTTGACCCTTTGTAAATAGAATTCCTTTTCCAGGAGTGCCCTTCAAGTATTGCAAAATTCGGTAAACAACTCTAAGATGATTTTCTTTGGGATTATGCATGAATTGACTCACCACTCCCACTGCATAAGCTATGTCTGGCCTAGTGTGAGATAAATAGATTAACTTTCCAACTAACTTTTGATAGGATTCTCTGTCCACAGTTGCATCTTCAACAAATTCACTAAGTCTGTGATTTTGTTCAATTGGAGTTTCTACTGGTTTGCATCCCAATTTACCAGTTTCAGATAATAAATCCAGCACATACTTCTGTTGAGAGATGAAAATACCATGACGAGAGTGTGCCACCTCAAGGCCCAAAAAATATTTTAATCTGCCCAACTCTTTTACTTCAAACTCCTGTAGCAAACACACTTGTAGGCTATCCATTTCTGCTTGATGATTTCCTGTTACAATTATATCATCCACATAGACAATTAGTGCAGTAACTCCCCCTAAGGCTGAATGCTTAGTAAACAAGGTGTGATCTCCCTGACTTTGTTTATATCCCATATCTTTCATCACAGTGGTAAACCTACCAAACCAGGCCCTAGGGAACTGTTTCAGTCCATAAAGGGCTTTCCTTAGCTTACAAACTCTGCCTTTCTCAAAGTTAAACCCAGGTGGGACCTCCATGTAAATTTTCTCTCCAAGGTTGCCATGTAGGAAAGCATTCTTGACATCGAATTGCTGCATATTCCATCCATAGTTAGCTGTTAGAGATAACAAAATTCTGACAGTGCTCATTTTTGCGACGGGAGAGAAAGTCTCATGATAGTCAATCCCATATGTTTGTGTACCCCTTAGCTACTAGTCTTGCTTTATACCTTTCTAGTGTTCCATCGGACTTGTATTTATGGGTGAATACTCATTTACAACCAACAAGTTTTTTTCCATTAGGAAGCTCTACTAAATTTCCAGTTCCATTTTTCTCTAGTGCATCCATTTCGACTTTCATAGCTTCTCTCCACTCTTTGCTATCTAGTCCTTCGGTAACCGTTTTTGGGATAGAGGTAGTGTTTAAATGAGCAAGAAAACTTCTATGATTGTTGGACAAATTATCATAGGATATAAAGTGAGACAATGGATATCTTGGCCTTTTTGTACATGCTCTAACATCCTCTCTTATTGCAATTGGAAGATCTCTAGCATCCATGGATATATTCTGCTCCTCTAAATCAGTCCCATCAACTTCAGTTTCAGGGGGCACAATTTGCTCCTCTAAAACTGTCTCATCAATTACAGTTTCAGGAATTGGGTCAGATTCTGGGACTTGCACAGGTTGGATAATAGGTGCTGCCCTTCTTGTGTAAACTTGTAGTGGACGAGTAGCATTAGGAGTCTTGGGCATAAAAGAAAGGTCTTTGAACAAATCATCATTATCTTCGATGTATTCCTTCTCCCCCTGAAGATAAGGTTTGGAAAAAAAGGATTCGGTTTCGACAAAAGTGACATCAATAGACACAAAATTCTTTTTTGTTGTAGGTTGATAACACTTGTAACTTTTTTGGGTAGGGGAGTAACCAAGAAATATGCATTTAATAGCTCGAGGATCAAGTTTTCCTCGATGTGGAGAATGAACATGGACAAATGACACACACCCAAAGATCCTAGGAATTAGGTTGTTTGAAGTTTTGAAATTTGGGTAGAATTTGGAAAGGAGCTGAATGGGGCTGTTATTCTGAAGAATTTGAGAGGGTAAGCGGTTAATCAAGTAGGTGGCAGTAAGAGCAGCCTCCCCCCAATATTGTTTTGGAACATTTGTGTGGAATAAAGATGCTCGGGTAACATTGAGAATATGCCCAAATTTTCTTTCAGCCACCCCATTTGTTGTGGGGTGTGGACACATGATGATTCATGAATAATACCATGTTCAGTGAAAAAGGAAGACAATGTTTGATTAAAATAATCTTTGGCATTATCAGAACGAAACCGTTTGATGGTAGTCTCAAATTGGGTTTTTATCATTTGAAAAAACAATTTAAATATTTGAGTGACTTCACTTTTTTGTTTTAAGAGATACATCCATGACACTCTAGTACAATCATCAATAAAAATGACAAACCAACGGGCCCCAGATATATTTGGGACATTGGATGGCCCCCAAACATCACTATGGATTAAGGAAAAAGGAGTAGACATTGTTTTATTATTATTAGGAAAGCTAACACGTTTGTGTTTAGCGAGTTCACAATCATCACAATGAAAAGTTTCTAAGTTTATACCTTGAAACAAGGTGGGAAACATATTTTTGAGAGTGTTAAATGAAGGATGACCCAACCGGAAGTGACGCAATCAGATTTCTTTATTGAGGGAAGGAACAGATTCTGACAACAAAGACTGTGGAAGTTGACTCTTAATGCTACTTGTCTCACGCATTTCCATAAGAAGGTAAAGCCCATTGTCCTCTCTAGCAAGTCCAATCGTCTTCCCCGTTTCTTGATCCTGAAATTTGCAAAGTGTAGGAGTGAATGTTACTAAGCATTGTAAATCTGTCGTAAGTTTGTGAATAGATAATAGTTTGGCAGATAATTTGGGCACATGCAAGACATCTCTCAACATTAAATTTTGACTTAGTGGAATATCTCCCTTTCCTGCAACAGTAATAAAAGTGCCATCTGCAGTGACAATCTTTTTATTACTTGGACACGGTGTGTAAGAAATAAACTCAGTAGAGGAATGGGTCATGTGATTCGTAGCCCCAGAACCAACAATCCATGTCCCTTTTTCTGTAGATTGTATAAAGCTAAGAGCATAGAGATGAGAACTACCTGATAATGCCATGGAAGAACTACCTGTGTTTGTGGGTTTGACTAAAGAGTCTAGTAGTTCCCTTAGCTTTGTAATTTCTTCTGGATTGAAGTCAGCAGCAGCAGTAGGTTTAGAATGACTTTCCTCGACAGCACTTGATTGGACCAAGTGGGCATGTGCTGGTCTTCCTCGTTGAATGCCTTTGGTGTTCCAATTACGATTCTGATTTGGCGGTTTTCCATGACGTTTCCAGCATCTGTCTTCGGTGTGCCTTGGCTTCTTGCAGAAGGTACATCATAGAGAATCCTTGTTATCCCCACTTTCAATCTCCATTTTGGGAGCTCCTCCGGTTTGACCGTTCTTCCATTGGTCAATGTTCTTCTCTCGACTTTGTGTTACTAAGGCTGAACTTTCATGTGATTGAGGCTCCATCATCACTCCTCTTCGCGATTCTTCTATTCGAAAGGCAGCAATGGTTTCATTTAGTGAAGGTAACTCTTTTCCGAGTACTTGAATCCTTATTGGATCAAACTCGTTGTTCAGACCTGTTAAGAACTTATAGATTCTATCCTTCTCCTTATAATTTTTTAGTAAAGTAGCATCTGCTGTGCATTTTGCCTCAAAATGCTTATAGTGATCCAACTCCAACCATAGATTTTGTAGAGTTTGGGCATACTCACTAATGGACCGATCTCCTTGCTTGGTAGTCGCAATCTTCATCTTAATTTCGTAAACTTGTGCAGCATCACCAACCTTGGAATAGTTTTCTTTACAGCTGTCCCACACCTCTTTGGCAGTTTTCATGAATATGCACGCATCACTAATCTTAGGCACCATGGAATTCCATAGCCATGACATTACCACAGCATCTTCTTCATCCCATGCAGCAAATTTCTTGTCTGTAGCTACTGGAGTATCCTTTCCAGTAAGATGATTCAATTTGCCCTTCCCCTTTAAAAAGGTTTGGACAAAATGAGACCATTTGAGGTAGTTTTTACCATTGAGACGAAGGCTAGGTTGAACATTTTGCAGCTCAACGGAGCCGGTGTTTGGGGCAGGGGTATTAACTGGTTCAGACATTCTGAGTTTTGTTGGGGAAAACGGCAATATAGACCGTAAAATAAAATCGACAATGCAGGCCGCACAGCGGAAACAATGGCAATGCAGGCCACAATTTTAAACAGGCTCCTATGGATTTTGGAGCTCTGATGCCATGACAAAGATAATTGTTTTTTCTTATTATTGATAGAGCAACATGTGCTCTTAAATAGAATACAACGTACTTAGAAAAGGAAATCCCTAATAAATATTCATCATTGCCCTTAGTCAATTCTATAATTAAGGGTCAATAGTTTCTATAAATACATACACACCTAATCAAATCCTTTAAACCTATTTAAATATAAAATATACAGCTAATTAACACATGTACAGCTGGTTCTAACAATGCTCAAGTTCTCTAATCATAGCAATAGAAAATGAATTCCAGTCAGCATCTGGATTCTCCTTAAACCAATAATAAAACCATAGCAGCATCACTCCTTCATCTTCCATGCTCATGAATGCACACTGCAACTTATCATGTAACTTATCATCAGAATGAATTTTGTTCTTCTCAAAGAACTTTTCAGCTGCAGAGATCCAGCCAACAGGATCTGTCCCCATGAAATCTGGCAATTCCCTCTTCATAGTCCAAACGTTCTACATTGCTGGCTCTCCGTGTAGTTATCAGGCTGTTTACAACGGTTTCCGACAGTTATTCGACAGTTTCCGAAAGTTATCTGGCAGTTTCTGATAGTTATTCGGCAGTTTCGGGTAGTTATATGGCAGTTCTCAGCAGCTATCCAGCAGTTTCAGGCAGTTATACAGAAGTTATCCAGTAGTTTCAGACAGTTATCCGGCATTAGCAATTCCCTGGCTCCGTCTCGAGATCTGGTAGGTTGGACTAATGTTAGGAACCCAAATTCAAGAGGAAAAGAAATTGTATTATTAATCGAAAAACAATAACTATTACAGAAGATGAACCTTGCAATCCTAGAGCAAAGCTCCTCGGAGGAAAGACAACTCTCTCTGCCCAAACCAAAACTGTTCCTATCTGAATAATTTTCAGTGCCTTCTCTCTTCTATCCCTATCCTTATATAACTATCATTTCCCTCTAACCAACTAGTCACATCAACAAATATAACTCATTCCTCTATTGGACACATTTGTTGGGCTTAGGCCCAAACCAATTACCTAACACTAACACAGTGCTTCTCATAATTTTGCTTCAAAAGGATTATTTCATCTATAAGGTGCTTTTCACATTGTAACACTATAAAATCCAAATTCCTATTATAGCATCAGCTCTGAAACCCGTCTTCTTTCAATAATTAACCCATGGATTCAACATGTGTTTTTTCGGTGTATTTGAAATTATGATCTTGCTGTGAAGGTGCTAATAGAACCAAATGTCAAGGATTAACTTCCTCAGAAACTACAAAACCTTATATGCTGATTGTTTCATTTAGGTTAAGGCATGGCTTGCTGACAAGGATGCTGAAGCACTGAGGTGCCAGAAGCAATTGGTTGAGGAGGAAGAAGCTGCCCAGAAAAGGTACCCTACCAGGTTGAGTTTGAGTAATACTATAAAAGACTAATTTTGGAATAAAATTTAAAATAAGTCTGTTTAGAATTTTGACATATCCTATAGTACTTCTAGCTTGTCACAAATTAAAATAAGATCGTACAATGCTTCTGCAGTGATTTTCATTTTATTTTCTTAGATTTCATTTCTTATTATAAATAAAATAAACTGGGCTACTACACTTCAGGCGTGTCTTGAACATTTGTTTAGAAAAAAGTACATGAGATACATTTGTTTATCGTTGAACACCTTATTTATTTACCCTACATTTATAGACAAGCTGAGATTTTGAAGAGGAAACGCCAGAAAAAGCTTAGGCAAAAAGAACAGAAGGCTAAGGAACAAAGAAACAAGCTTGAGGTAGATACTAAAGAGAACGTTGACAGTACAATGAAGACTGTATCACCAGCAGAAACATCTTTGGACACATATGATTTTGAAGCTCAAAATCCAGTGGAGTCTGCAAAGAACACTCCACATGTACCTCTTCAATTCCTTGACATCAATGAAGGAAAAAATGGGGATACCCAGTCAGGACATGATATTGGTGCTGATCTGAATATTCGACAGTCACAACGTGAACTTGATCGTCTTGAAAGATGGCACCAGCTGCCAAAATTCTCCCAACGCACTGCCAGTGGTCAGCTTACAAACAGGAATCCTCCTATTTCAAATCCTGAAGTCATTCAGAAATATGGAACCCGCCATGGTCGGAAGGCAGATGGTACATCTAATGCTGGTAAAGCATGGCATGGTAAGCTGAAACCTGACATTAACAGGATGGTTTTAAAACCCGTAACAAAGACTGAACCTGGCCTTGTAAAGAATCATGAAGTTATGATAGGATCTATATCTGTCAATCTTGCCAACTGCAGCCAATCAGAGGGTAATATGGTGGCATCTCAAGAAAAATGTTTGATTGAAAATGTGGTGGCAATTCAAGAAAAGTGTTTGATCGAGAATATGGTGAAGAAGCCAAATAGTTCTCAGAATAAACCAAAGAAACCTAATTTACGTGCTACTGAAAATAATCAGTCAATGGTTAAACCTTCCACAGCAGTTAGTCGATTTGAAACTAAAGAAGATCCATTTCCAGTTCAAAGTGGTGGCTTGGAAGATGATGAAGTTAATAGAAATGAAGTTTGTCAGAACTTGTCAAGGATTTGTAGTGATGGAAGTGGTTTTGAAAACAAAGTTTCCAATACAGAGAGTAGAGTAGATCCGGTAAAGTTAAAGTTTTCGATTCAGGCTGCTAGAGACTTTCTTGCACAAAGTAAGCATTGCTACTACTTGTCATTAAACTTGCTTGTTCCTATCTGGCTTTGATCTTTAATTTATTTTTCCTAATAGAAGCAATTTTGATGCAGGATGGGAAGAAGCTGTCTCGTCAGATCACGAGAAATTGGTTATTTCCCTTGACTCTGAACTTTGTGGGAACCATGAACCATGGGAATCTTGTAATGTTGATAGATGCACCAACGTTGTTGCAACCACCAAATGCAGAGGGAAGGCTAAAAAGGGAAGCAATCACAAAGAGAAAACAACCTAATACTAAAGTAGCAAATTGGATTTTATAAACTATACAGATACAGACAGGCAAAGATCAACTTAGTTGCCAATTTCTTTAGCAGAGCTTTTTGTTTTACCAGATGATGATAAACGGCAAGTCTTTTTAAATTGTGCCATTTTTACATCTACAGGATATGATGGTTGATATAGCAGGCTTTGGTAGACAATTTCTTTTTACTTGCGGAATTTGTTTAGTTACCTAAGGATCACATTTTCTAATCTATTCGGCTCATTTCTCATCATAATTGTCTAAAATTTGCCTGTAATAGATATAAAAAATAATTGAAGTAGTTAAGCAAACCCCATATTTTTACCCTTGTCACTTTCTTGCTATAACTCTTCAGCATTTAAATTTCAATATACCGGTATATTGAGATTTTATCCTGTAATCCCTTATTTATTAATCCCACTCCCACATATTTTTATAATATCAGGTTATCCTTGTTAAAATTTTATAGAAAAATCTGGACAAAATATTCGATTGAACATATAAAAAATCCTGTACAAATAAAAATATACGGTTTACTGAATATTTTAAAAAAAACCCGATAGGTTATGGCATAAACGGTTATTTGACTGGTTTTTATTGGATTTTTTTGATTAAAGGTGAAGTATTTGGTAGTACAAGTAGAGGTTTTTTCAAATCAACTTTCAATTACCGGATTTTTAGTGATTTTTAGTGGGTCAAAGATTTATCAAGTAATTAACAATGTTGCTTAAATTCACCAATTCTTGCTACTACCTTGCAAGACACTCCTTGTCTCAAGGTTTTTACTAGGTCGAATTAATCCCAAGTGCACACTTGTTGAAATCCAAGATTTACCAACAAGATCCACCGTCTCACGCTACTCCCTTGCAAGACACCCCTTGTCCCAAGACTTTCACTCGATCAGATCTGAATTGCGTAATCTTGTCCAAAACCTTCAAATTCTCAACAATCTTGAAGGAAAATCCCAACTCGATTTTCTTATTTGAAATCCTCAAAGTTTCCAACCCAATATCAACGGTACAACAATCTAATTGGACATTATAAACTCTAATCTAAAATGTCAACCAATCAAAATATGATTATGTATAGTTTGATTTTGTATATACATAGAAGAGAGGTTGAAGATGATGAGAATGTTTTGAAATTCCGATTTCGTATAGGTTTACTCGAGAACTAGAAATGATGCATGTATCAAGTATATATATATATATATATATATATATATATATATATATATATATATATATATATATATATATATATATATATATATATATATATATATATATATATATATATATATATATATATATATATATATATATATATATATATATATATATATATATATATATATATATATATATATATATATATATATATATATATATATATATATATATATATATATATAAGTTGAAGGTGAGAAATAAACACAAGAAAGGGGGGGATTGAATTGGGTTTATGCCTAAATAAAAACTTTTTCCTTTTCTTATCTTCTTCTTCACTTGTTGCTTTATGCGCTCATATCAAATGCATTGCGGACGCATAAATAATAAAGCATACTATAAGTAAAGAACACAACATATATCCTGGTTCACTTGAGCAACTCCCAAGCTAATCCAGTCCACCCTTCCAAGGTGATTTTGCCTTAATCAATTAAGGACTTAATCCACTATAACCGAACTGATTACAGATGCACGAGCTAACTGCAAGTGACTAACAACAGATCAATGAAACGTTCAGGGATCCCCAAGGATATAACATTCATTAACATCTAATAGAATCCGATCACTAAAGATCTTCTATTAGAAACCACAAATGACTACTGTCACTTGTCATCTCAAGTATACTGATCTTCACAAGATCACTTGAGGAACCACTAATTCTAAAATAGAATGTTGTGTTGCCGGAGATTACAATGGTGCTTCCTAGCAAGCTAATTACTCCAAGTTAAGCACATAGAAAGTAATGAGCAACAACTCCTTGCTTCCTAATGCAGAAACTAATCTAATGATGAATCTCTAAGAGATTATAAGAACATAGTTTCCATATTGCTTAAAAGCTTTTCTGTGTGTGAGCACTAAGACTTCTTTTCATTTAAGCTTTTCTTCTTTCTTTCTTTCTTCACTTCATGCTTACTAGCATGGTAACATTTGAATGAATCAAATGTTATTTCTTATAGAACAGCTTAACAGCAACAACGTTGCTTGACTCAGCAACCCAGCTACTCAACAACATTTTTGATCAAATGATTCTTCTTTTTATATTGCAGCCAATAGAGTTATTGTGAGGATATAGTTGTCCTTTCTCATTCCAACGGTCATATCCCAATGGATAGAATAAGCTCATGTGTTGGAACAGTGACCTTAGCTTGTAGCTTCAATATATTTAATCCTTGGAAACTACGCTTGAACAGTACCAACGTTTTTACCACATTTGAATAATTGCATACGTTGTACTTCAATCTTCTTGATTCTTCTGATGATTCTTCTGATGAGTAGTTCAGAACTACTTTGGTATGAAAGCTTCAGCATCAGAGTTAACTTAAGCACATGATTTATCAGATTGAACAACAACAACTTATCTGATGTAACACGTCTTGCATCTGGATGAATCTTCTTCTGACACAATCTTCCGCTTCAGAATCCAGTCTTCAGCATTCCAAGAACTAAGTTTCCTCTGAAACAATCTTGAGAATCTTCATGACTAATTCTTCAGAAACCATGTCTTCAGAATCTTCAGAGTCTTGACCTTCAGAACACTTCTTCAGAGTCTTGACCTTCAGAAGACTTCTTCAGAGTCTTGACCTTCAGAACCTGTCTTCAGAGTCTTGACCTCAGAATCTTCAGAGTCTTGACCTTCAGAACCAGTCTTCAGAGTCTTTACGCACTTGGTCTTCAGAGCCTTCAACCTTCAGAACTTCAAGTCATCAGAGTCTTCAACACTTTGTTCTTCAGAGGACTCACTCTTCAGAGACACTCGTTAACTTCCAAATCAGATGCATAACTCAGAGCAGAATCTATAGATGCATTGCAACTGCAATATCCAACATCCTTGATTCTTTACTGAACATGATCAGATGTAGAAACAAACTTGCTTCTTCACTAAGTTTCATTTGCTTTCAGATCAGATGCACTTCTTCATATCAGAATACACAGGAGCATTGCAACTGCAATATCCAGCATCCTTGATTCTTACTGAACGTGATCGGATACATAAGCAAACTAGCTTCTCACATGCGCTTCATGACGTCACACTAAGTAATTCCATAAGTTACTAGCTGCACACGTTGCTTCTGTTTGTTTGGTCTAATATATTTAATTTAATATGACCTGCACATAACAAACATTAAACCATAAAATGGTTCTTTCACAAATACTCAATTGTTATCATCAAAACATAGAGATTATCCTGTAGAGACAAATCTTGCTCTTACAATCTCCCCCTTTTTGATGATGACAAAAACATGTATTTTGATAGAACATTTTATACAGTGTAATCACTAAGCATTAACCTATTCAGAGTTCTAAGCAACTGCTCCCCCTGAATATGTTAACCTTTAAAACATTTTTATGCTTGTTCAGAGACATACTCTGATCCCAAGACTTACAAAAAATAAATTTGATAAAACATAATCAAATAGAGTAGAATAGAAGGAATACTTCCCTACGATATAAGATAGCATAAGTCTTCAGCATCTGGACTAGTTCAACAGAACTTCCATCTTCAGATCTTTAGAACTTGTCTTCTCTAAGCATCGTATCAGAGTCATATAACTTCAGAATCTTCTAAAGCATTTTCTTTTGATCTTCAACACATCTGTTTATCTACAGATGACAAACTCCCCCTGAGTTTCAGACTGGGTGAAAATCAAATATCCTGACTTGTGAACCTTCCTGGGAGAACTCCCCTTGATTACAGTATGTCATATATTTGGATCTTCTGATCTTGATACAGTCTTGGTTCTTGCTTTCTCAGACTTTCTTTCTTCTCAAATTCTTGATCTCTTGAAGCAGTATGATACCAATAGAAACCAATGTTTACTTCTGTATCTGATACCAATATTGAATCTGAGTCTGATACCCATGTTGGTTCTTAGTCTGACACCAATACATGATACTCATGATTCTGATTCTGAATCCAAATCTTGCTTCTATGAAGATTTCTGATTCTTATGCTCTGATTATCATATTCACAGACAATTTACATCTTCTGAACATTCTGATTCCAGATGACTTTAACTTTCAGATCTCTGAATAGTATTGGGTCCATCTGATTCTGAATCTATGTTCACGAAGTGTATAACTTCTATTATATGAACACTAGTTCATTTGAGCTCAGATTTCTTTCAATTATCCTGTTTAAAATGCCTAGTGAACTTGTTCAAAGTTCCTCGGAAAAAACATCAAGCACACATTTAGTAATAAACGCAGTTTATATGTTTTGCATTCTCTTTCAGGTTATAGAATATATCAAAGCTATATTCTTTTTCTCAAAAACATTTTCCATTTCTCCCCAAGTTATATTAAAAACATCTTTCATTTCTCCCCATTTCATTTTCCCTGTTATATACTATTATTCCAGATTATATCAAAATCATCTTCATTTCTCCCCCTTTTTGACATCATCAAAAAGTTAGAGTTTTTCAATGAAAAAAAGATTTTAAGAAAAAAATATTTCTCTCTTTTTAATGTCAGAAATTAAAAAGATAGGAGTTGAGAGATAGCACCTGAGAACTTAATCATCTTTCATTTCTCCCCCTGAGAACTTACTTCTTACAGGTGGATACCAATAAGGTAGGTTGATATCTTTTCCAGATTTCATCTTCTATATCTCCCCCTGCTTCTTGGAGAGTGACAACTCTTCAGAGTTTGTAGAAGCATGCTCTGACGAGGATTGTTGACAAGTTTCTGATCAACAGATCTTTCTCTGACAACTTGTGCATCCTTCATAGCTTGTTGATCTTCTCTATACTTACTAATGTCACG